ATTGTCATTAATTACTCACCCTCATGTCGTTTCAAACCCGTAAGACCTTCGTTCATCTTCGGAACACAAATTAAGATATTTTTGATGGAATCTGAGAGCTGTCTGACCCTGCATTGACAGCAATGCAACTGAAATGTTCCCAAGTCCAGAAACGTAGCAAGGAGATCTGTAAAATAATCCATGTGACATCAGGGGTTCATCCGCAATTATACGAAGTTACGAGTATACTTTTTGTGTGCAAAAGAGCGGTCATGTCTTATCTCACCTATGACACAGTATCACCATCAGATCTCAGGGTTCTTCCACACAAATCCCCACTTTAACCCCTGAATTGCATCTGTCATGTCTGTGTAAATAAAGACATGACAGATGCAAACACACATACACACACACTAATAATTACACATGTGATGTTGCTGCTGACAGCTCAAGGATACAGGAAGAAAGGGCAACATTTGTGTTTTCTGTGTGTGTAAGTTTGGGAAGAAAATGCAGGTTTCCGTGGGATCTGTTTCCTACGTTGTTGTGATTTGATCTGAACGGAAATAGCGTATCCGTGTGACGCAGCTGACACAAAAACTTTTGCGCACAAAAAGTATTCTCGTAGCTTCGTATAATTGCGGCTGAACCCCTGATGTCACATGGATTCTTTTACAGATCTCCTTGCTATGTTTCTGGATTTGGGAACATTTCAGTTGCGTTGCTGTCTATGCAGGGTCAGACAGCTCTCAGATTCCGTCAAAAATATCTTAATTTGTGTTCCGAAGATGAACGAAGATCTTACGGGTTTGAAACGACATGAGGGTGAGTAATTAATGACAGAATTTTCATTTTTGGGTGAACTATCCCTTTAAATATGCTTATTATACTGATTAAACTGCAGAATTAGGAAGAGTATTATGCTAGCATGACTGTTGCGAACATAAGCGATCATAAGAGGTCAATATGTCTGTGAAAGTGATATTTGTATCATGCAGATGTAACCAACACATATCCAAAAAAATGCATGGCGTACATCTAAAAAAACATAAATCTGACAACATATATTTATGCTTAAAGACTGTAAAAATAACTTTTAAAATGACTTTTCTACAAACTTAAAAAAAACAATGATCAACATGTTTAATGAGAAAATACTATTTCAGTGTTTCTACTTCAAAATTTCAGTGTGTTTCTTGACATTTTATTGCAATTATGTGAAAATGGTTCCAAAATAAATCCTACACCAACAAGGTGCCAGCATGGTGTTCCTCGTTGGTGACCTACATTTGCACCGTCCAATCATGCGCCACGACCCCACCCCCCATTCCAGTGATAGGATTTAAAACTCACAGACATATACACACACACACACACATACACACACACTGACTGTATATCAACCCCCTCCAGATAGCAGTGGGAAACCCCGTTAATTCCCAGCCGCAGCGGGGGGTTCAGCCGTCTAAAACACACACACACACACACACTCAAACTCATACCAGCATGTTACTGGATGTGATGAACTGCACTTAACCTCAGATTCACTGTGTGATAAAATTGCATTCTCTGGTCAGATGATATGAACAAATTAACATGTTTTCATCCTTTACAAAAAAGTACTGGCAGTACCATGATTCTTTAATATATGCACCTTTAAATACCATATTTACCATGTTAAATGCTGCTGTAATGACATTTCAATTATAGTTGTGTTAAACAAAACATTGCATTTCCTTGTTTTGTCCATGGCATATATTTATGCTAATGCCATGGCACTTCTTGTAAGGGATACAGCTTCAGTTGCATCTATATACATACACTAGTACATGCACAGCACACTTACAATTTTTGATAAACACACATGCATATGTATACATACACAGATAAGATCTCAGATACTGTGATCCAGATAGGGACTTGCATGCATGAAGAGCGAATTAGACAAGATTATAGTCAATATTGTATGTGTGTGTGTGTGTAAGACAGGAACAGAGTAAATTTTATTTATCTTCAGGGAAGAAAATTGCAGTGTTGCAGTAACAGAAACAGTCATATAATGCTGTGCAGGAGAAAACATATCCAGATGTGATAGATAGATAGATAGATGTTAATTTTATTTTAATTAATAGATTGATTTATTCACAAATTCATTGATTAGTTCATAGATTAATTAATTTTTTTAAGAATTATGGTTGATATTACTTCCGTGTTATTTATCACACTGGAAAAGAAAGGTCAAGTCAAGGTACTGTGGCAATTGTGTGGTACATCACATGTGTGTGTTATATGTGTACTGGGAACACTGTGCAATATTAATATTAATATGTTAGTGTGCTATTCTGAAGTGTGCGTGAGTGTGTTTTTTTTAAATGTGTTTTTTACCCTTTGGCAAGGTGCAGTCTGAACACACACACACTTGCCCTGAGGCAGTGATGATGAGCAGACGCTCTGTATTTACAGCTGATGTTAATAGAACACACAGAGAAACATCTGACAGTGACGAGAAAGGCTACAAAGAAAGAAAGACGGCCTTTGTGTCACAGTTTACACACACACACACACACACACTGACATTGAGCCTCACATTCATTTTAAACACATGTAGGAAGACAAAGACAAAAAAGTCCAAGAGTTCTGTGAAGTATTTGAATTTGAGTATTTGAATTTCAACTTTTGATTGTTTCCTTGCACTAAGTATTGTGATTGGTTGCATTTCTCAGTTGAGCTCTCTGATTGGTTTATTAACATGCTTCAGAATTGTACCTCTTAATAAAATGACAGTGTTTGCAGTGGAATACTAGCATACTGTTTCTGCATACTGCACTGAAGTATACACTGAATAGAGTTTAATGGTTTAATACATTTTTATAGTATGTGAAACCACATACATGATAATCATTTCAAACAGTAGTATGTTGCATGTTTAATTCTGCAGTATTACATTTATCATATTTAATTTTGGCATTTTTTCTTGGAAATAAAAATGATTGTTTTATGTTTTTATTATAGTTTTGTATAACTTGTGTCAGTCAGAACAAGAATCAAGTCAAGACATAAAAAAAAAAAATTAACAGTTAATTTGTTCATTTAGTGGAAATGCAAAGTCAGGTCAAGCACAAGGCATTGTGGGATACAGGATTGCACACACAGGGCTGGACAGTGCAAGCCTTTTAGGTGCATTTGCTACTAAAATTAAAAGTGTACAAACTGTAAAATGAATTTAGGAGCGTGTGTGAATAAAAAAAAGTCCCAGCGGGTCCTTAAAAAGTGTAAAAATTCAGTTTCATAAAATTCATAGAATAATTTGAATAATATGTTAAATAAATGTAAAACAGTTGGGTGAAAACCGGATGTGTTTCAGTATATTGGATCTGTGCAGTTGGTCTTAAAGGGACAGCAGCCTTATTTACCTGCAGATGTCTGTCATTATTAATGTTAATTAATAATGTTTGATTGATACAGTGAAGACTATGCAGTGTTTTATTTATACACTTTAGTGAATTTCTGTAATATTTCTTACTACATGTTAAATAAACCTAGCCTACTGTAGCTGAATAAATTAAAAGTTTATTTCATATATTTTTTTGTTCTGTTGTGCTTGTAATTTGCTTCTTTTTCTTAATTTTAATTTTTAAAAAAAGAAAAAAAAAAGAGCTATATCGAGGTACATATCGTTATCGTGAAATAAAATGTATCATACCGTGAAATAAGATTTTGGTTATATCGCCCATTATGCATTAAAAAAAATAATTATAGTGTAACAGTATAGTATATAAATATAGTAGAAATAGTATGAGAAATATGGTAGTATTGAAAACATATGCAGTAATTGGTTTCTTGTCTTTGCACAGGAATCTGTCCAAGAAATACCAGCCTAAGAAGAAAGAGGAAGACGACAATAAGTATGTTTCATTTTGCTCATTTCTTTCATGATTGATATTAGATTTGTTTGGTGAAGTCCCAAAGATTGATGTCTTCACCGTATGCGTCTCACACTGATGATGTCCCGTCCTGTCTTAGGTACACATGGTGCCGCGCGTTTCATTCGACGCTAAACGAGCTGAACGATTACGCCGGGCAGCATGAGCTCATCGCAGAGAACATGACGTCACAGATCATCGCCGAACTCACGCGATACGCACAGGATATCAAAACAGAGAGGAAAGCGGTGAGTGAACGAGCACTCAGATTTACATTTACATTTACATTTAGACATTTAGCAGACGCTTTTATGCTTGATGGAAGTCCAACCAGAAGAGCATTGCAGTAGTCCAGCCTAGAAATGACAAGGGCCTGGACAAGAAGTTGTGCAGCATGCTCCGTTAGAAAGGGCCTGATCTTTCTGATGTTGTGCAATGCAAACCTGCAAGATCGAGCGGTCTTTGCAATGTAACGTTACAACTGTGAAACGTGCAAGTTGGTTTAAAAGAATGTCTTCTGTTCAAGTTGAATAAACAGAGAGGATACGTCAGTCACTGGTGGGATGATTTTCTGAAGGGTGTGGCACATTTAAATACATATAAACACACAATGTACATCCTTTTGTCTTGATATCCCACTTTTTTAAAAATTCACTTGAATATACAAGTGAATTTACAATAAAGTATTCATTTCAAAATGAATTTTTTTAAGTTAAAATGATATATATACATATATATCAATTTTTAGACAAGTTTGACTTAATAATAATATAAATAAAAATCAGACACACATATCTATCTATCTATACACAATAAAAATATTTATACATATAAAAATATATGTTTATTTATTAATATGTATATACATATATATACGTGATGATACATGATATTACATTAGTATAATTTAACTTGTTCTTATAATATTGATAATATAATTTAAGACTTAGATTAATGACTTGCAGTGTGTTGCCCTTTATTTTTATGAATTCATAAGTTCATCATTCAGGACATTTTCTCTTCTAAATGATCATATTTGTCAGAATTACAGCACATCTCTCTCTTTTTTCCATAAATAGAGATGCTGTTGCATGTTTAGGCTGAAAGTTTCTGGTGTGTGTAAATGAATTACACTCATATGTATGTATGTGTGTGTGTGTGTGTGTGTGTTTCATCTTTCCACATAAACACACACACACACACACAGACTTTGAGCTCTCGAGGTCATCGACTGTATGATTTATATGTCCAGATAGCATTGAACTAGAGCGGTGTCAGAACACAACATGCATCTTTCATTTAGCGAATAAGATGAAGGCATTTAGATGTCAACCTGAAGAACGCAGATTTCCCAGCATTCAACACTCACACACACACACTGAGCAGGGCTCCATGGTGTCTGTCTGTACGATTTCCCAGAATGCTGCTTCTCTCCTGTTTCATAAACCTATTCTTTCTCTCTCTTTATCTGTCTGTCTATCCATCTCTTTCTTTTGTCTACCTCAGTTCAATTGCTTCATTTTGTTGATTTGATACACACGTACTATTTTCGGATGCATTTGTGCACTTATAGATATGTACGAACTTATAGTTTATTCTGTAGTTTATGCATGTTGCAATAGAGAATTAATTAAATTAAATTAAAAACAGTCTTGCTCCATTTTTTCCCCGTGTTTAATCCAGACAGCATATGGTCTGGTGCTGTAATTCTCTATTAAACCCATTGTTGAAGAAGCTTTACGCTGACTGGGCCTGTAACGTGTGTGTTTGAGACATGCTCCATCTGTAGGCCTCGTTCAGTAGTTCAGGTTATTATTCTGGGATGTGATAAATCTGCTTCATATCACCACACTCATCCAGATCCAGAAATCACTAGCTGAGCTTCTGCAGCGAAAAAGAAGAAACAAGAGAAGAGCGAAAAACAAAAGCACATCAACTTATGACAAAGAGCAGACTGGTTTCGTGTAGCCAGATTTTTGACTAACAGCATAAAGCCGTATTCAGGCCAGGAACCGCCTACATAGGAAGAGACCGTCTGACAGACATGTAAAGTGACAGTTAGTTTTGTTTTTATGTGCCATTTAGAAGCAAGCTTCTCTGAAATTTATATCTAGACGTTTGAGTGATTTCAGACAATGTTCTCAATTCCAAGAAAATAATACTTTTAATTTTATTTAATTTTATTTTATTTTATTTTTCATTATTTATTTTTTATTTTATTTATTTATTTATTTAGTTTTATTTATTGTTATTTTTTATCTTATTTTATTTTATTTTCTGTATTTTTATTTTATTTTTTTGTTAATTTTAATTTCTTTTTAAATGTTGTTGCATTTTTATTTATTTAATATTTTTGTTTTATTCATTTTTATTTTATATTATTTTACTTTTTATATTTTATTTTATTATTTTGTTTATTTTATTATTTTGTGTTTTTACTTTAATTTTTTTTATTTCAATTTGTATTGATTTATAGTGGAAAGAACTCATGAGTCATGACGTCAGTGCAGTTGCTGTTGTCCAAGACCGGGTGCTTTCTGTTTTTGATCCATGGGAAACGAGTCTGCATTTATCTTCTGTAAGTGTGTGTCTGTGTATGAAGCATTACTGATTCAAATCATCTCTGAAGCAGCGTCAGTGTTGTTCAGTCTCGTCTCTTTCATCTGTTCCTCAGGTCACGTTTTTCTCTGTTATTTATTTTCTTGTTCTTTTCTCAGCTGTTCTAACGGACAGGTTCTCAGTGAAGCTTTGTTTTTTTAAAACAGCTAGAGATCAACTTCCTCTTTGAGAACAGGTGGACTTCCTCTGATTGGCTGAAACTATAAAGACTGATTCCAGATCAGCTGTGAGTTTAGATTTCACTTTGTTAGTTTGTTCTAATGGGCCGCAAAAAGCAGAAGAATTAGACTGTTGTTGAGCACTTTTGCCCTTTGTGTGTGTGTGTGCGTGTGAGTTTTCACGTTTATCTGTTTTGAAAGAACCGAGAGGGTCAATAAAGCTCAACTGCAGTTTTAAATGCTTTAAATACCACAATTAAATGATAAATACACCACCATCTTGTGTATGTGTTTGTTCATTCGTGCTTTAAAAGTCTCGATCGCTATGCTAGACACAACTGGACTCCTTCAGCATCGGCTGACTGTGTGGTTTTGTACCCATAATGCTTTGTGCTCTATAAGGTTTTATTCACACGCCGCATGCCTGCATTCCTTATTCAGCCCAGAAACTCAGCGATGAATACTAAACACATTCACACTCTTTCATTCATTCACTCTTTTTCTCACTGTCAGTCCTTCTGTCCGGTCTAAACACGTTTCACTGATTCCGGTTCAGTTTTACCGCGTAACTCGTGATACATAGATCCTAACTTAGACTTTGTGAAAACATTTTGGCTCTGAGTTTGTGTTGGGCAGCACCTGTGTGAGATTCAGAAATATAAGTGTTTTAGTATATATGATTTTTTCAGGAATATTTAAATTATATTAATAACAAAATTATTATATTTATGGTTTATATATATGATTTTTCTAAATTTGAGAAAATGTAAAATATTTATTTAATGTTTATTATTAATAATACAATTATTATATGTATGGGTAGTATTTATATTTATTTAGATATTTATATAAATATATTTATATATTTTTATTTATTTAGATATAAAAGAAAAAAAATTCCCAGTGCATAAAAAAAAATATTCCTAAAATTATATATATTAGGAATGTTCTAAATGTTTTCAAACAGATCAGTGTTTCGAAAGTGTCGCAGAACTGTAGTATTTACACTCTTTAGGAAGTCAAACACCACATGACTTGCACATTTATCTGGAAAGTATTTTACCTTTTTCACCTTTAAAAGAGAACCACTTAGGATCCATATACACTCTGCTATTCAAATACAGTCAAATACATTCAACCAAGTGGAAGGACAGTGAGATGTTTGTCTTGAGTGACTGCACTGAGATGAACGGTCTGCTGATGTTTGATGCTGTCTGACTCTGTGTAGCAAACAGGATATTGAGTCTAATCTGTGTCATTAAGACAGATCTGACCGTCTGACATTCACTACAGGTGTCTGTGTGCTTTACAGACAAGACTAGACAGCAGCTGAGACTGGACTGGAAGTTATCACAAGCATTAATGTTACAAGAATTAATAAGGAATGTTCCGGGTTCAGTCTGTAGACAGAAAATAATTTAGACAAGCAAAAATCACATTTACAGTAATGCCCTATAAGTGATTATAAGCTGTCACGTGTCATTAAAGCTCTGAATGTTGGCTCACACGGGCGTCTTCAGCTGATCTCAGACCTGCATGAGAAGCAGCTCTTTATCTGTGTGGCACATTGAGCTCTTTGTGTGGGAGATATTTGAGCGTTGGCCAAACGAACACTTTCCTGGAGTGCTCAGGCCAAGAGGAGCCGTCGAGAGAAACACACAGACGGCCTGGAGTGTGACGACACACACACAGGATACACACAGAACACGGCAATATGGCTTCCTGGCAGCTCACACACATGCAAACACACACACTTCCTCTCAGGTTCAGGCTCACATACAAACAGATAATCCTGATTGTGTTTTTCAAATATTTCTATCTTAGTTAACTGCAAGTGAGAGCTCCTTAATGTTCAATTGTTCCTTCTTAACAGTAATGTGATGAAATTTCCCTTTATGGGTGAAAAATTTTAATGATGGATATTAAAAAATTAGAGATACATTTTTTCATCTTTCTCTCTCACAGCATTTCCATGATGGACGGAAGGCACAGCAACAGGTCGAAGCCAGTTGGAAACAGCTGGAATCGGTGAGTTCAGTCAAGATCAATTATCAATCAATAATCTTTATAATAAATGCGCACTGGAATCACAATTTTATCAGATGGTAATACTATGGTACTTTGATATACAGTGGTCTCCAAAATTCTGGGAGCACTAGTGAAAAGGCTTTTATTTTGCATGATTCAACACATTATTGTAATGCAGATTAAATGATGAAAATATTAAAATTATATTAAATATGAAAATATTTACATTATTTAAAATGATTTATTAACTTAAAACAGTATTTTAAAGATTAATTTATGTATTTATTAAACTTGCATTATTCAATGCAACATTTTAATACAAATTAAATGAATAAAATATTCAAATTAAATTGAATAATTAATTTGAATTTTGTTATTTATTTTTTTATTTTTTTAACATTTCATTAAACTTTCATTATTCAGTACAACATTTTAATACAAATTAAATTATTAAAATGTTACAATGATTTAAATATTATAATATTATTATTTTATTTATTTTTGTGTTTAACATTTTTTTTAACTTTTATTATTCAATACAACATTTTAATGCATATTAAAATATTAAAGTTTGAATAATTAATTTTAAAATTGAATTATTTTAATACAATTTAAATTATTTAAATATTATAGTCAAATTAAATCATTTTGAAATTAAAATATTGTAATATTATTCATATTTTATTTATGTAATTTTTAAAAAATCAGTTAAACACTCAGAAAAAAGGTACAAAAGCTGTCTCTGGAGCAGTACCCTTTCAAAAGGTACAAATATCTAACATTAAGATAATAATGTGTACACTTGAGGTGTTAATACCTTTAAGATACTAATATGCACCTTTTAGGGGTAAATAAGGTACAAAGGTGTACATTTTGAAAAGGTACCGCCCCAGTGACCACTTTTGTACCTTTTTTCTGAGAGTGTAGCTGTATACCATGCTACTGGATGCATGCCATATTCACTTACTTCAAAGTATACCATGGTATTACCATAGTAAATGTCCAAAAGGCTAAGATAACCCCTTAGTCCATTAGATACTGTGTGTGTGTGTGTGTGTGTGTTAGGGGTTGCACAGACTAATCGACTAGTCGACTTCAATGCTCTGCCATGACGCTTTAAGCTTGACGTCGACTAGTCGCTGGTCTTATAGAGGGCGCAACAGGATAAGAAATCTTTGAAGGACTTCCACATTTACGCTCCGTTTCCAAACAGTTCAAATGACAAATAAATGCATACTCTGAAAGCGCTCCACAAGACATGTGATTATATTACTGGATGCTCGAAATTGAACGGGAGAATGCACGTTTTAAACAGCTTATTGTACAGGTAAGTTAATCGCCGTTCTAATCTAATGCGCTGCTGCACTGTAACGCACACACATAGGCTTCAGACGGTAGCGCGTACATCACGCGCAGATCGCGAGCACACAGAATCATTCAGCGCGGAAATGTATTGTCAACACTGTTCTGTGATTTCTCAGTAAAACAGCTTAGAAACTGAAAAGTTCAACCCCTAGTGTGTGTGTGATCAGAGGGACGTCTCACACACACACTGAAGCAGACAGGATAGGGAGCGCGGGGCACAAAGTAACGTGGGGTAAGTTGTAACACACGTGGTTTAAATATTTCCACACATGCTAGCATGACCAAATTTACAACATTTACTAGCTACTATATAAACATTATATAGAGAAAAAAAGTGTGCCAAAATTCAAAAGTCTTTTGAAGATATCGCTGAACATTTATTTTACCATAGTAAAATTATATTTCTGGCTTAAGTCAATTTTTCATCTCAGTTTTTATTGCTCATTTAAAATGAGACAAATCTGCTATTATTTTAATCTCCAATCTGTTATTTATTAGTTTAAATTATTTTTTAATGCTTCGCTAACTATCAGAAGACAGTAACCGGTTTTAAATTCCAGTTGCGCAGATGGGGTATGTTGTAACACTGCGTTACAATGTACCCTGCCGTGCTATTCTATGACATTAGCGATGCAATTCACACTATTTACTTTAATAAATTGTAATGATAAACGACGAGAAACAGGTGAATAAACACTGACAGTCGATGTTTAATGTTAAGAAATTATTATTTCAAGACCTGTTAAGCATTTTTGCTCGTTTATATGGGCCGTCCCAAGCATGGTTGCAATGTGTTCATTGTCAAACTCCAAAATCAGATTATTTTTAATTCTTAAAAAACGCCATTATTTTATTTGAAAATTAATTTATTTGATTGACAAAATATTTTAGTTTGTCTTGTATATTTTTTTATGCGATCAGATAACATTTTAAGCTGTCACATGGTCATGTTACAACGTGCCCCTCAGATGTTACAATGTACTCCACCTACGGGGCGTTGTCACATTTCACTTCCAATTTTTGAGGGTAAATAAAGAAAAACGTATACACTGTAATTATGAAACAAAGCGACATATTTGTACTAGACAAGTGTGAAATTACTGTGGATAAAAAAATATATACTCTGAACCCCATGTGGATTTACACAAACTGACAGAATCATTCAGCGCGGAAATGTATTGTCAACACTGTTCTGTGATTTCTCAGTAAAACAGCTTAGAAACTGAAAAGTTCAACCCCTAGTGTGTGTGTGATCAGAGGGACGTCTCACACACACACTGAAGCAGACAGGATAGGGAGCGCGGGGCACAAAGTAACGTGGGGTAAGTTGTAACACACGTGGTTTAAATATTTCCACACATGCTAGCATGACCAAATTTACAACATTTACTAGCTACTATATAAATTTGAGAAAGTCAAAAAGTGTTACTTTGTGCCCCGCTCTCCCTATATCACGACATTCCTCTGTACGCCCACTGTCTCAGAGTGTGTGGTGTTTGAGATGGATTGTGTCATTGTTAGCAGAGTCTTCTGGCTGTTTGTTGATTCAGTGTGTGTGATAGAGAACAAGAGAGCACTGCCTGTGTGTGTCCGTGTGTAAGAATGAGTTCATTGTGTGTGTGTGCGTGATCGGTCAATGGTCAGTGCGGACTCAAATGTTGATTGTCCCTTCAAATAAATGAGTGCGAGAGCGAGATGAAGAATAAACAATTTGATAATGGATGAACATTTATTATACCGCAGTTCACACATCTGTTCGGTGGGCTGAGTGTGTGAGTGTGCTAATTACAATGTGAGTGTTCTGCATCTGAACATCTGTAAGTACATGAATCTAGAGCAGTGTGTTCTGCCATGGTTTAACACGTGTGTGTGTGTGTGTGCAGTGTAAGCGGAAGTTTGAGCGGGATTGTAAAGAAGCGGATCGAGCCCAGCAGTACTTTGAGAAGCTGGACGCAGACATCAACGTGACGAAAGCAGACGTGGAGAAGGTAAGACCATCTGATAAGGAATCGTACATCATCCAGGATTCCTGAAGAAAAAAAACACCAGTTTCTCCACTGGGAAGCTGATTATAACAGTAATGAGACAGAAATTATGATATAATTGTAGAAACAAACCACAAGTCAGTTCATTATATCTATCTATCTCTCTGTTTTCTATCTATCTATCTATCTCTCTGTCTATCTGTCTGTCTCTGTTTCTATCTATCTATCTATCTATCATCTATCTGTCTGTCTGTCTGTCTGTTTCTTTCTATCTATCTATCTATCTATCTATCTATCTATCTGTCTGTCTGTCTGTTTCTTTCTATCTATCTATCTATCTATCTATCTATCTATCTATCTATCTATCTGTCTGTCTGTCTGTCTGTCTGTCTGTCTCTCTGTCTGCCTTTTATCTATCATCATCTCACTTAGTTTTATTTAGTTTCCGTTTAGTTTATATAAAATGAAAAAGTGATAAACTGATACAGCCCGAGTGATTCACATGTGTCTGTTTTCCCCTTCACTTCATCTTAACACATCCCTCACTGTCTCACACTGCTGCCGTGGCGTTGTGTGGAAACTCGACCGTGTGTGTGTGTGTGTGTGTGTGTGTGGAGTCACACAGGACAGGCAACATCGCCTACGTTCTCTACTCATTTTCAGTCTTTTTTTGTTCCAGAGCGTGTGCTGGGCAGATGTCTCTGTGATAGCTTGAGTCACACAAAGAGAAATTTCCAAAGTATTCAGATGTGGAAAAGAGCTCTTTCTTCCAGCAGTCCAGAGAGCATTTTTTGGTCATTTAACGGTCAAATAGTGAAAAAGTCAAGAGATCTTTCAGGAAGCATGCGTGAGGGTCCAAAAAATCCAGTGCAACGCCAAAGCTAATCTTGCAGATCTCTTCTGTTAACGAAAATGCAGATGTTTCAGGGTCAGTAAAGGTACAACAGCTGCATCGGCTCAATTAGTGAGTGACTACATTCAGAATAGCATACTATTTCTGCAGTTTACAGTATGTATACTATGTACAGTATTTGAATTGTGAATGCATGGGATACTTGAATGGACTCCTATGCATATAACCAGAGCATCCCACAATGCAATGCGTCTTGACTTCCTCTTCCATTTACACTGAGACACATAGACCGAAAGTAACATAAACCGCACTTTTGATCTCATTCATGATTCATTTTTTGATTTGCCACAGTTCAGACTGCCAAAAGTTTGACATTTTTGCACAATATCGATTTAAAAATGTTAAATAACCATATTTACTTCTGAGATGATGATTAGACGTCAGTTACTGAATTAAACATGCAACATAATGAGGTCGTTTGACAACAACATGGCAGTTTGCAAGTTACTATATGATAGATATAATTAATTGTGTGGTTTTAACACATGTTGGTTTGATGTGTTGTCGAGCGGTTTGTGTCGATATCACTGTCATGTTACAGTGTAGATTTAAGTACTAACTCGTTAGCAGCCAAAGCTAACTAATGTCTATGTGTGTTTTTTTTTTAAATCATGCCTTGAAGCGATGTTACCTAAAGGTAGGTGCACGGCGGCAGGTTTGTGTGTGTGTGCGTGCGTGTGTGTGTCTGTGTGTCAGGACACTGTTGCTTCCTGTCCAGCCATGGCCACGCCCACACGACACAACGGCCACCCAGTCACAGGCTTGATTAAAGTTTGTCTGCGCTGCTGCTCCTCCAGTCACATCGCTCCAGGCATGAATATTTAAACATGTAAATCTCAAAGCGTCCTGTTCTGCTGGCCCATATATAAATGTCGCTTACCATATCACAGTTTATTTAGGAGGTGTGTGTTTGTGTGTGTTAAGGAATCATCAGCATCTGGTGGTCTGTCCAAATAGTGCAAAATAAAATAAAATATAAAAAAAACTATGCTGTATGTTCACCTTTAATTTATTTGTAATTGTACTCTATTTTATTTTTATTTATTTTTAAATTATTTTTATTTTCAATTATATATGTGTGTGTAATATTAATAAATAATATTTATTTTTATTTAAATATTTAATAATACATAATATAAATAATATAATAAAATATGCTGTATATTCACTATTCTTTTATAATTTATAAAATAAAATAATAAATTATAATTAACGTATATTTGATTAAAAAATGAAATATATGTATATTTTAAATTAGATTATTAATAAATTTATTTAAAGAAAATTAAAATGTCATATCACTCATTGCTTGTGCATTACTTTTTTCTCTCAAATATAAGAATATTTAAATGTAAGAATAGTGCATTCAAATATTTATATGATATTTAAAATATATAATATAAAAAAGTACATTTTAATATAAAAATAAAAATCATATAAAAACCATACATTATTGTATTTATTTATATTTTGTATGTTTTTTCATTTTGTATGAATATATAAAAACTAAAAACAAATATATTATGTTTTTTATATCATATCATATTACATATATATACATACATATATATATATATATATATATATACATACATATATATATATATATATATATATATGTGTGTGTGTGTGTGTGTGTGTGTATTTGAATATACGTAAATAGTATGTATTTGAATGCAATACATTTAAATATTCTTATATTTAAGAAAAAATTTAAATGCACAATCAGTGACAGTGAGTGCAAATGTAATTGTAGGGGATATTTTTTCTGAACTTCCTGTGGCTCATGCACAAGCCTGCTGCTGCTGAGCTGCTGGTGAAGTTTGAGTGTTTCCATGGCAACACTGAACCTCAGGTTAACCAGTGTGATTTCCTGGAATCGGATCAGGATGTGGTTGACATGACGCTGCTTTCTCTGTATCGTTCTCTCACTTAAATGATGCGCATTAAAATGCATTAGTATACTTTAGAATTGCGTTTACTTCAGCAGCATGCATTTGAATATTTCTTCAACCCACAAGAGCTCTTGAGCGTTGTGTAGGATGTTTATGTCTTGTGTCTTTTATTTGAGCTTTTCACATGTATGTCATATCTGCCGTTTCACACAGAAGTGTGTATTAGTTATAAACACATCTGTAAGAATTAGGCTAAATGTGTTTCTATACTGAGTCAGAATATAGTATAATAGTATAGAGTTTAATAGTAACAGTATAATAGTATTTATAATAATAGTATATGCTCTTTTGTTAGTTTTGACTGCTTTTATTGTCCTCATTTGTAAGTCGCTTTGGATAAAAGCGTCTGCTAAATGACTAAATGTAAATGTAAATGTAGTATAATAGTATAGAGTCAGTGCGAGTGGACTTTGAGGTTTGTGATTGAGTTTAGGGGAAGTCATTGAGTCTGAAAACAAAAATGTGTTATTTTGAGTGCACTACATTCCCTAGTCACAGCGATAACAGCATCTCTTCCATTAAAATGAGAGTTTTTGTCTTTTTATTGATTTCTGCATCATCACACCAGGTAGCCCCGCCCACAATGAAATCTCATTGGTTAAAAATCTCATTACGCATAACTGTATATTAAACATCAGCAAATCTGAATTGCTTATGACTTTAGAAAACCATGCGATTGTAGTAATTTGAATGTAAATGTTCTCGCAAAGACGTTGGAAGATAGGCTCTTTTTGTAGGCTCTTTTTTAGCATAGGTTTAAGTCTGTGTGGCTTTTAGGGGTATAATTAATCAAATTACTTTTAATAACATTGCATAATCAGTAATATTTCATTCTCTCTCTTTTAGGCACGGCAGCAGGCTCAGATGAGACACCAGATGGCTTCTGACAGCAAGAATGAATATTCCTCATGCCTGCAGAAGTTCAACCAGGAACAGAATGAACATTATTACACCATCATCCCTAATATCTTCCAGGTGCACACACACACACACATGCACGCACGCACACACACACACACACAGAAACATCCACTGAGAATGAATTAGCTAATAATATTGTTGTTTAATTGTATGCACCAGTTGCATTATTTCTGAATTCACTATTGTGGATAATGCAAATGAAGTAACAGCATAAACACACCCCAAAACACAATTTGCATGGAACAATTCCTGATCTCACAGATCTACTCAAAAATACACACACTAACTCTGTGTGTGTGTGTGTGTGTGTGTGTGTGTGTTTTGAGAGCAGAAGATCCAGGCAATGGAGGAGAAGAGGATAGAGCGAATGGGCGGGTCGCTGAAGACATTTGCGGAGGTCGACCGACAGATTCTGCCCATCATTGGGAAATGCCTGGATGGAATAACACAAGTGGCCGAGTCCATCGAACCCAAGAATGTTAGTAACACACTCATTCATGATGGGCCTGGCATCCTTTTCTGTTCAAAATACCTCTCATTCTCTCATAGAAACTCAATCTGAGTTGAACAAGACACATCTCCTGACACATTTAACCCCATTACTGACTCCATCACTGATCTAGGATCAGTCTCTGGCCGTTTGGTAGAACAGATTAGAATATCGTAAATCACTGACACCTGACTCCAGCGGCACAAATTTCATAGAAAAGGAATTGCAAAGAACAGGATTGTGAAATGTCTTAAACTGCTGTTCAAAAGTTTGGGGTCTATAAGATGTTTTACTGTCTTGTGCTCATCAAGGCTGCATTTATTTGATTAGAAATACAGTAAAACTGTAAAACTGTGAAATATTACCATTTAAAGTAGCTGCTTTCTATTTGAATATATTGTAAAATGTAATTTATTTCTGTGATGCAAAGCTGAATTTTCAGCATCATTACTCCAGTCTTCAGTGTCACATGATCCTTCAGAAATCATTCTAATATGCTGATTTGCTGCTCAAGAAACATTTATTATTATCATCAATGTTGAAAACAGTTGTGCTGCTTAATATTTTTGTGGAAACTTTTTGTCAGGATTCTTTAATGAATAGAAAGTTCAAAAGAACAGCATTTATTTGAAATAGAAATCGTTTGTAACCTTAAAAATGTAATTTTTGATCAATTTAATGTGTTCTTGGTAAATAAAAAATTAAGTATTAATTAAAAAAACAAACAAAATGAAGATCTTACAGACCCCAAACTTAACTCACGTTTAATTTCTGAAACACATGTTGTTTCATATGTATGTACTAGAAATTTGTGGAAATACATATTTTCAATAATGTAGCTAATATTGAAATAAGGATATAAGTAATAGTGACACAATATGACATATTGAAGGCTTTGTAATTTATTTGCCCTTTACAGCCTCATTATCATTTGAGACAAATTAAATTTGCCATCTAAAAAATCTCCTCTGATGTAGTCCAGAATCTCTGAAAGATTTTTAATGCATATTTTCTGTCTTTTTAATTATTTACTGACAATGCAATTGCACAAATGATGTATTTAGATATAGATATAATAATCTGCATATGCAACTGAAAGTGGTTGTTGTCTCTGACTATACAGTAGCTTTTTAGGACAAAACATCTTCCAATATGACCTAAATCTGACAAAACCTCCTTTTAGAGGCATCCTCAAAAAGACTATATTTTTTAAAGACATATTTTTGGGAAGGGATTGTTTCGTAGCAATACTAATGAGCTTATTTTATTTTAATCTAAAACCATTTTTGTTACTTGAAATAACATGAAATATATATACGTATATATATATTTAAACTGTATATTAGGGCTGCACGATATATCGAAAATATCGAAATATCACACATGTAAATATCGCGATATGCATATCGCAACGGCGTGCGATATTTGAATAATTTTAATAATAGGCTACTTAAATACGTTGCAAACAAAAGGTCAAAGTTTTAGTTCGACGCATATAGCAGAGACAAGCTGCATCTCACACAGCGTCTCTTCAGTTCTGCCGCACACGTGCAAAGCGCGCGCGCACACACACACAGAGAGAGACGCGTTTCAGATGGCGCGCGAACGAGTTGATTCGTCTTTCGCATCTCCTCCTTATGTTTGAACAGACACATACACACAGAATTATGTCAATAGTACCCGTCTCGACGATCATGCTCGTAAACGCAGTCAGTTATGTTTTAAATGAATGTAAACAGCTGAGAAAGAAATCGGATGTGTATCATTATACTGGATCCGTGCAGTCGGATTTAAAGGGACAGCAGCCTATAAATACGTGCTGCTGAATATGTCACTAATGTTAATCAAACAACAAAACAGCTATAACAAAGATTAATCTAAATTTAATTCATACAGTGAACACTATGCAGTGTTATTTTACACTTAATTATTAAATTTCTGTACCTGAATACTATTTATTTTATCTATGCTTGTAAATTGTGTATATTTTGTATGCTTGTATCTATGCTTGTAAACTATTGTAAATAGTACCCCCCTTTTTCTTTCTTTTTTTTACTGACTGTTCACTTGCCTTTAATCATGTTTGAACTTTCTCAGACTATAGTTTTTGCTGTGGTATATGAAGAAGTACTTAAAGTGTATGGAAAGCAAAGTCACAATGATATAAAATTAGTGTCATTCATTTTTTTGTCATTCACACTGATGTTAAAATTACATTTTCTGATTTGTGACATTACTTTTTATGTACTGCTAAAACACTGCTGGTCATTTTCAGAAGTTGTAGTGATTCTTTCTTTTCCAAGAAAGAATGTGAAACAAATTGGTTATATAATTTTCATTTTTAAATATTTTAAAATATAATTCAAATAGATTTTTCACACTTTAAGCAATATCGTATCGCATATCGAATATCGCATTTTTTAACAAGGTATCGCGTATCGCATTTTTTTTCAATATCGCACAGCCCTACTGTATATATATTAACTAGTTGTCAAGACAGTTTTGAAGTGCTAAAAAGTTTGAAGTACTAAAAAGTGCTAAAAAATAATAACAAAAACACACAATAAAATTGCTAAAACTTTAACTAAAATTAAAGTGAATACAAAAAATATAAAAATCCAATCTAATTCAACATATGAATAAAAACTATAATAGTATGTAATACTAAACTCACACAGTAAGACTGTCTTCCCCTGCAGGACTCCTCTCAGGTCATAGAGTCGTATAAGTCTGGGTTCGAGCCTCCTGGCGATGTGGAGTTTGAAGACTACGGTCAGGCGATGAAGAGGACGGTGTCTGAGACCAGTCTGACTAACTCACGCTCGGACAACAAAGCGGACCGTTCCAGCAAGGGCAAGAGCAAAACTCTCTGGCCTTTCATTAAGAAAAACAAGGTAACACACACTGGCGTCACATTCGCTCGCAGTTACTTCGATTTGACCCAAAACCAAAACTCAAGTAAAAATGAACAGCACAGACTGATCTGAAAGCTCATAAGAGTGATTGTTTCATGCGTTTGTGAGTTTTGTTTTAGTTTATGCTTGTTTAATTTCATTTGTAGGTTGTTTGTATATGTGTAGTTTTATTGTAGTACTTGTAGATGCTGTTATTCTTTTGCCGCCATCGTTCTCCTTTCCCTTCCCTTTGTTCACCTGCACGAAAATACAAATGTTCCACGTTCATCCTGACGCTCCACTGATAACATACTAATGCACCGGCCCGAGAGGCCTCACCTTTGACCTTTGACATCGCAGAGAAACGTAACCCTAAACCCTTTATTCCTGTGTTGTCCTTTCAAACCGAGAGTAACTTCCTTCTCCAGCCACTCATCGTTGCTGTTCCCATGGTAACCACATTCTTCTTCCTTTTCCTCGTCTTCCTCTGTCTTCTTGTGACCTTTGACATTTGTATCAAAGGCTCTGCTCTTACTGAGCATGCTCAGTCCAAACCCCGCCTAACCTCGCAGGACCAGGATGTGAGCATTAACACTGTCATACATATTTAATGAGGTGTGTCTGTGTGGCTATGGGCGGAATGGAAAACTAGTTGTACATACTGTACGTACTATACAGTACATACTGTATACTGTTTACAATTATTTAGTATATATAGTTCAAAAGTTTCAGGTCAGTAAGATTTGTTTTATTAATTCTTTTATTCAATAAGGACGCATTAAATTGATTAAGTGACTGTAAAGGTATTTATAATACAAAAGTTTTACAATTAATGTTATTTTGAACTTTCTATTCATTCAGATTACACATTTTTGAAGCAGCACAACTGTTTTCAACATTAATAATAATAATAAATGTTTTGAGCAACAAATCAGTATATTAGAATGATTTCTGAAGAATCATGTGACACTAAAGACTGGCGTAATGATGCTGAAAATTCAGCTTTGATCACAGGAATAAATTACATTTTACAATATATTCAAATAGAAAACAGTTATTTTAAATTGTAGTAATTTTTCACAATATTACTGATTTTACTGTATTTTTGATCAGATAAATGAAGACTTGGTGAGCAGAAAATACTTAAATACATAATAAAATACATCATATATTTATTTGAATTTATGCAAAACTTTACGATACATACATTGTGGTCACATGATCTCATCACATCATATTTAATTCGGCAAGTGGCGTCCAGTTGTAATATCAGAAATAAATATGGTTATTTTGCATTTTTAGTCCAGTTTTGTGTAAATATGTTGCAACATTTGGCAGTCTGTGTAATATTGCGACTGATATTCTGGAAATGTAATTTTAGCGGATTGCATTATGGGATATCATATTCCATATGGTGTGCTTTGTTGTATAATACACATTTTAGCAAATGTACAGTAGTAGTCCATTTGCATATTGGGCATAGTATACATATTGCCTAAAAAGTAATAGAAGTATGTAGTACGCTGTTCCAATCATAGCCTGTGTTTGTCAGTTCACGTCTGTCCCGTGTGTGTTTTGTGTGTGTAACGTGTCTGTTTGTGGTCACACAAAACATTATTACGAGACTTTACTTAGAAACTCTATACAATAATACAGTCATCTAAACGCTAAACGCTCACACATCTCACGCACAACTGTATCTGATTAATGGTGTTTAGGCCTGAGAATGTTCTACAGGGTTAGAAGTTGGAATCGTTCTTGTGTTTATGTATGATGGTGAAGATTATAGCAATCCTCTGGGTTCAATACGAGTTAAGCTCTGTTGGGAGCATCTGTGACATGCTGTCGATTACCACAGGAAATCAGCTCAACTTTGGAAAAACAAGGAGAATTGCTCTTACATGGGAAGTCAATAGAATTGTTAAGTAGATCTGAAATATTAAAAATCATTTTTGTTAAGTAAAATAAAGCAGAATATAAATATTCGATATATATAAAAAATAGCTTGGCAACTAACTGAAATAAAACAGGTTGACGTACTTAAATTACTAAAACTAAAACATAATAAAAAAATTAAAGCGTAAATAGCAATGCCCAAAAAATCAGGAATTTATGCTTGTTATTTATTTATTTATTATTACTTTTCTTCTTCTTATTATTAATTATTTTAACTAAGTAACTTTTTTATAGATTTAGCTATTTTAATTACCAATTAAAATGACAATAGCACATACAATTTGTAAAAAATTAAACAAAAATTAAAATGAAAATATAAAAATAAAAGCTGATTCAAAATATTAATATATATATAGCAAAGTATATAAATAATACTAAAATAGGGCAAGACTTTCTGGGAGGTTTAAAAGCAAAAATGTGCAGCTCATATTTATGCTGAAGCAATTATTTATTTATTATTATTATTTTTACAAAATATGTTATTTGAGTTGTGTCAATTTTCCTTGTAGTGGTAGGACCCTTCCTGGTTATGCAATTGTTCCATGGACTTCCATTGTAAATGCATTATTGCACACATCATTTTGATTTCCTGTGGTATTCGGCACACTTATCTCGGTTTTTTCCTAATGCATAAAGGGCAGATTTTGTCTGTGATGTTTTAGCAGGTTGTCTAGTCTGTTGGGAACTGAACCGTTAATGTGAGCTCTCCCAGAACGCACGTTCATTAATTTCTCCATTACGCTTTTGGGAGCTCGCTAATAAGAAAGTGAAAGAGAGAGAGAAAAAGAGCAAATGGTTGACCTGAATTTAGTCTTTGTGCATTAGAGGAGTGTGTGTGTGTGTGTGTGTGTGTGTGTGCTGTGCATGCAACGTTTGTTAAAGGGACAGTTCAGCCAGAAATGAAAACGCTGCCATCATTTACTCACCCTCACTGATTGACTTTCTTTCATGGAACACGAAAACAGAAAAGGAATATTTATGCAGCTGTTTTGCAATACAATGAAAGTGGATGGTGACTATGGCTGTCGAACTTCAAAAAGGGACAAAAAGGCAAGAAATAATTTGACAGACTGCCAGAGTTTTACAGTTCTTCAGAAAAGATGTTACTGGTAGAAGACAGTTACTCATCAATTGCAGCAAAATTGATTTTTCAGCTGCACACCCTCAGAAACTACTGCTTTGATCAATATTTAAGACCGTCCGTATGCATATATTGCAGCATTTTTTATTCACAATGTATTGAATTTTTAATCTTATTTTTATTTTATTTATTTATAATTTTTCTTCATAATGTATTGATAAATGACTATTCTATACACACACATTTTTAATCTTATTTTTATTTAATTGTATTTATTTTTTCTTCATAAAGTGCTCAATTTTAAAACTAATTTCTATTTATTTTATTTATAAAATTTTAAACAAAATAAATAAATGAATTTCCTTATTTATTTTATTTATTTATTTCTTCATAATGTATGACTATATATATATATTTTTTTTTTCATTTATTTTAAATGTTTTTCTTCAAAAATATAAGTATAGCTGAATATCTATTATACATATGTGTGTGTGTATATAATTTTGTTTAATTACTTAGCACCTTGTTTAAATACTATTTTTATTGTTTTTTCACTGTAAAAATGTTCTTAAAATTTAAAACAACTTAAAATGTAAATTTTTTTGTTGAGATTAATTTTTAACTGCATTAATCTAAACTAAAGTTAACTAAACTTATAATTTTAAGTCAAGCATACGTCTTTAAATTGAAACTTTATTCCTTATTTTAATGATGAATTTTAAGTTGTGATAATCACAGCAATCTTTTTTTACAGTGTTGTTTTGTGATTAATGCTTTGCCAATATTGTATGCAAACTCAATCCTGCCAATAAAGTACTTAAAATTGAATTTAATTGACACATAGGTGAATTCTCAGTGACAGATCATCAGTGAATAATGACTTAGGTCTTTTTTTTCGCACAAAGCTATTGTTTGGCTTGGAATCTAGTCATATGTACTACTTTTACAGTGCTTTTAGTCATTTTTGAAGCTCATGAATGCCCATGGTCCCTATCCGCTTCAATTACATTGAAAAAGCAGCATAAGCATCCCTGTTTGAGTTCCACGGAAGAACGACAGTCATTGACGTGATGTTTATTTTTGGGTGATCCGTCCCTTGAAATGGTTCTGCGGTGATTTGACCCCTGCATGTGACCCCTGATGTACGGAACAGAGTTTAACGCACTAACTCTCTCGCTCACAGGGTTAATAACACCACAGCTGCAGCGTGTTTCTTTCAGTTGCCGTTTCTTTTACGTTCCGTTTTAGTTTGCGTTCTCCTTTGTTCTTTTAATTGATTAATTGATTAATTGGTTTCATTTTTGGGTCCTTATTTCTCTTGTGGTAAGTATCCGTGCATGCTGAGGTTCCACGTCTTCCACGTGCGTGTGTTAAAGTAAGTGTGTGGGTGCACGTGTGCCGCTCTGTGCCTGTCGTCACCTGTACTCTCATGTCAGTGTACGTTTCCATTCAGAAAAAAGGAGTCGAATGATCATTTTAAGGTGTTTTTTGCATCATAATCTAAATATAAAACAATTAATGTCATAATGTGACTAATGCTGCATTTAAGTCATGATTGAATCATATCATATTTGGGTGATTCTTCAGTCAGAGGAATTTTTCTGTGCCTTAAAATGATTTCAAAAGAAAAAAAATATTTTATTAATTTATTTCTTTATTTTATGTTATTTATTTAGCAATAATTCTGGTTTTAATGGATAGAATACAGTGGTTATATTGTTAATTTTTATGTTTTATTTTACATTTATTTATTATATATCTATAATATTATAGATATATCGATGATATTTATTTATATTTATTCATTTTTAATACTGTTAATAACTACATTTTCCAGAATTTAACTAAATTTTGTGCTCGCCTTCTAGACTTTTTAGTGTCCCTCTATAATGAAATATTCTAATCAGGGAAATTCTTTTTTGAGTTTTTTCTTAAGAACCTTAAAAAATAGAGTTTGAATAAA